AGCGGACAGCCCTGGAGGGAAGACGTCAGGACGTACTCTGTACTCGCAGTTTGGGGGAGGTGATTATCAGGGGAAAGGACTGGGAAGGACCCCGCTGCCCCACTGTCTGTGCAGGAAAAGGACAAGGAAAGGTGGACCCAAGCAGAGAACAGGGGAAGGGCCTGCCCTGCCGCCCACGTCAAGTCGAGCTGCTCAGAAATACTGTACAGAGAGTGGGGGGGACGCGGTCCACCGGTGGCGGACTCGCTGGAATCTTGTTTCCGCCACTTCAGCTGTGTGACCTGGGGCAAGTGTCCTTCCGGCTCTGTGCTTCCATTTCCCTCAATAAAAGAGAGGCAGAGGGAGCTATTTAGATACGAAATGAAGCAACTGAATACATGCAAAACACGCAGGCCAGGGTCTAGTGCGTAATCAGCGTCCCCTGACTGTTATCTCTCCCCAACCCCTGCCTTTGAACTGATGGGCAAAGGAGATTTGCCAGAGGGCACGAAGCACGGGGGCAGGGCACAGTGTTCCTGAAGGCTCTCTGGGTGGCCCTCGCCAAGGGAGGAGGGGGCAAAATAGAGTCGGAGGCTGGGGGTGGCGGTGGGGAGAGGCTAAGGAAATAGCCTGACCTCAAAGCGCTCAGCGTCTGCCCATCCCACCATCCTACTGTGAACCCAAGCACTGCTCTGGTCCTGGGGACACTGCAGGGACAGCGACAGGACAGCCCGCGCCCCGGCTCATGAGGCAGAAAGAGAATGCACAAATCAACATATAACATAAGGGGGTGACTTTTAGGGACATGAGGGGTGAACTGTACAGATATCTGGGGATGAGCCTTCCGGGCGGTAGAAAAAGCAAGCCAGAGTTTGGTGGGACCAGGCTTGCTGGGTTCAAGGACTTCAAAGAGATAAGCATGGCAGGGGAGCAAAGGAGCCAAGAGGGGGTGCAGTGACAGAGGGAAGGAGGGCTGCATTGTGGCGGGGGGACTTCAGCCACTGAAATGACCTTGGTATTCACTCAGAGTGACACGGGAAACCTCAATGGGTTGTGAGCAGAGGGGGCACGTGATCTGGTTGTCTATGGAGACGAGAGATGAGACTACTGCACTAGTCCAAGCAGTGGATGGAGGAGGGCAGAGTGGTGGAGACGTTGAGAACGGGTCAGTATGCAGATATGCCTTTGAAGGTAAGCCAATAAGATCTGCCGATGGACCAGATACAGAAAGCCTGCAGTCAAGGATGACCCAAGGTTTTTGCCTCTACCCTTGGAGGGAACGAATGGAGATATCGCTTATTGAGATGGGGACACAGATGGGAGAAGACTTTGGCAGCTGGAAAAATTCACGGATATAGTACCCAAGGCTGATTCCAACTAGAAAACATAAAAGACAGCAGAGGGGGACTCAGCTTTCCCCCCCACCCCCGGCCATAGAGAAGGCCAGCAGGCCCATCATTGCACATGGTGGCCCAGCAAAAGAACCCCTTCCCCTGTGGTCCAGCGGGGCCTTCCCTGGTGGACCAGAGACACCCAGTAACTTGGAAAGACACGCCCAGGGACCTGGACTGTGCTTCCTAATCCATGCAAACACACAGGGCCACGCATGCCAGGCTCTATTCTAGGCTGTGGATATAAGAGACCAGCAAGGTAACTTGGGCAAATTACTCTCTTAAACTTCTGTTTCCCTAACTGTGGGTGAGGACAGTGAGATGTGTGTCCCAGAATTCTCCCAGGACTAAACGAGATGATCAACATTTACAAAGATGCCTAGCGCACAATCATCCTCGATTATACTCCTGAGTGCATTCGGTCTGAACACCTCTTGACCAACCCCACCCACTGGGGGAAAGGAGAAGAAATGAGTCTCATTCTCCCCCAAGACCTCTCCCAGCGACCTCCATCTCCAGGGCCCCTCCACTGTGTGCCTCCTGCATTCTGCATCTAACTCATTTGGCCATTCTCTGGGGAAAGCTATGGATTCATTACTAATTTTTAACTAAACACACAATACGTGAATACATTCTCCTTATTTACAAAGAAAAAGTATGAGCCTTCCAGATAATGCATAAATATTCTCCCTGCCACACCCCCAGTCCCCTGAGAGTAACCACTTTTGTCAGTCTGGTGCACACCCTTCCACACCTTTTTCTGTGCTTTTACATGCACTGATAGAAACCCAGTGAAAAGAGAGAGTATTGTTTTGTGGAGGTTTTTTGGAGTTTTTTTGTTTTTTTTTAACATGAGTAGCCTCAAAGCTTTTTTTCAATTAGTAATGTGTTTTTTCTACTTTTCTGTGCCCAGACGTAAATATCTAGCTCCTTCTCTCTAACTTTTACCTAGAACTCCACTGGATGAAGCACTCCTGCTTTAATTCCTATGTCCCTATTGAAATGCAGACCAGATCTGGCGGTCAGGATTCCTGCCCGAAACTGCCACGAGCTGTGTAAACCGGGTACATTCAGAGCAGTTTCACACACAGGTCACCGCCTTTGTACTTTATCATCTTGCCAGGAAACAAACTAAATCCAACCCCTGCCTCAGAGCTGAAGACACATGCCCTGGCTCAGAGGTGAAGTAACTGGCCTGAGGTCCCCAGCCAGCAAATGGCACAGCCAGGTCTGCAAACCCCGAGCTCTGGAAACTGACATCGGTTTCAAAACGAGCCGCACCCCTATGCAACCCCACCAGTAACCTGAGAAATGTAAATCACACACATCCGATTAACCCCCCCCAAAAAAAATTATAATAAGAAATCAGTAATCCCAATAATGGCAGAGATGTGAGGGAGTGACTAGTTCCATACTCTGTGGATGGGACTATAAATGCCCTCAGTCTTCAGAAGGGCCATTAGGCTGTGTCCAAATGCAAACTGGACATACCATCTGGACTAGAGGCTTCTCTTCTAGAAATGTACCTGGTGGAAATGTTCATCCAGGTACACAGAGAAGTATGTATGAGAAAATGATCAGTCAACGGACAAACAGGTAAGTAATTAAGTGTACAGCCACTCAAAGGAATACTATGCAGCAGTGAAAAGTGTGGCCGATTTAAATGTTTTGACATGGAAAAACTCCCAAGCGAGAGCTGTGAATTGAAAAGCGAACTGCAGGCTATTTCGACGTAGTTTATAGTTCAATATATGTAAATATATATATATTAATGTGTCTAAATCATGCTTGTGATGTGTATCTCCATAAAAATCTAGAAAGATACTCTCGGATGACGGCGGTACTATCCCAGGAGGGGAATAAAATGGGCGGAACCTTTTTTTCCCTCCACTTGAATTTTTTTTTTTTTTTTTTTACAAACAAGAATCCATGTATTTTATATACACGGACTTCTTTAACCCCAAAGCATAAAAAAAAAAAAGTAGAAATCAAAGCACAAGCCCTCCCATCCAAGTTGCACGTGGACACATACAGCCAAAGAAAACACCAGCGGGCCGTCCCTCCCTCTCCTAGCATCCCACCCACTCGGTCCCCTGAACACAGATGCCCTTCTTCCAAGGGAGGGCTCTTGGCCAGGGCTCAGCCTGAGCTGTCCAAGAAGAAACTGTCACAGGCTGGACTCGCCTCCGTGCCTTCACGCCACTCGGCCACAAACCAATCACCTTTGGGATATTCACAGAGGACGCTGGCTGGCTCTCACTCAAGTTTAAGCCCAGAAATCTTAGTTCCGGGACAACTGAGGACAGTGGCGCTTTCCTCTTTGGAAGCCCTGAGGAGGAGTGGGAAATTAGGTAGGGCATGTGGGTGTGCCCACACCCACAAAGCAACAGGCTCTCTGCACGGGATCACGACGGGCTTGCCACGCTTACAGCACCCAAGTGATGGTCTCTCCAGGGCTCACACAGTACAGAAACCACAAATTTGGCGGGCATTTACAGCCGGCTTTCACTGAAATAAAGCTCTCACAGCTACTTTGAAAAGCAAAACAGATACACCCGTTGGCCACCACGGGAGAGAAAGAAGCAGTTCTGGCCGCTCTCAGGTTTCCCCAAGAAACTTTTTCCCGCCACTTCACAGGCAAGAAAAAAAAAAAACACTAAGAGAAACTCGCAGCTCAGTGTCACCATCGGCCAGGATCTCCTTGCAATCAGATTACAGGATTTAATGGGACAAGATTTGACAACAAAACAAAGGACACAGTGTGGCCAGGATGACTCAGACAACTGCTCACCAGAGACCTCGAGAAAAACCAAACGTTGCTCCATCTTTAAAGCCAAAAAACGGCAGCCGGGTCCAAGCAGATGCGGCCTTCATTCATTCGCTCGTTCACTCATCTCCCCAGCATCCTGCACTGGGCGTGGGGCACAGACACGAAATGGGGACAAGTCCGCATTCTCAAGAAACTCGCCTGAAGAAGCCGGTTAAGGGGAAAAGAGAAATCAACTAGCAAGTGATGACAGCCACATCTTTATGCGTCTGGCTGGGTCTTGGGCCAAGGTGAGCCTCAGTCTCCCCTCCCGGCCCTGCAGGTGCTGGCCTTTCCTTCAAAGAGCTGAATGCTTTTACCTCAGGTGTGATAGTCTGCCATCTCCCTGTCCTTCAGTAACTCCAGGCTCATTCAAAAATGCCGCCAGACACCCAGGGCAGAGTCTGACGGTCTGAAGGCCAGCTGACAGCCTTAATTTGTCTCCCTGGTTGAAAGGGCAGCGGTGTATAAGGTTAGGATCGCAGGAAAGCTCTCAGGCTGTGGACTCCCCAAGGACCCTGCTTATGCAGTCCTGGGCTTATGCCTGCCTCTGTGTGGATCTGGGGAGAAAAGCGGCTTATCACTGCCAATCTGCATCAGGAAGGCAGCGTCCGGGAAGGACAGAGCAGCCCATTCTGCCCCTGAGAAGGGGTTTGTATGGGGAGGCTCTGGACAGCAGAGACCGCTCTCCTGAGGACCCAGCGGCCTGGGCACCCATGTGAGTCTCACATGCACGTGCACGGAGGGTTCCTGTCCTCCTGTGCTCACAGGAAACAAGCAAAGTGCAGCCCTAGTTTTACCACACACTGTCACAGGCTGCCATAGAAGAGGCAAGAAGCATGTGAGCCCGCTCCTGGGCTCCTCCAGGCAGTACCAGAAACGTGGCCACACTCCAGGACCGCCTTGGACCTCAGACCCTTAAGGTGAGGTGAGGCTCCCAGGTGGTCTCTAATTCAGGCTTCCCCAACCCGGGCCTGCGCCTCCAGCAAAAGCCCTGGATGCCCTCCTTGGCCCCCAAACTCAGCCTGCGTCCTGGGTCGGGGAGGTTCCTGGGAAGGTGGCCTGCTGCCCCTCCTCATGCCCTCTGGTCTCTCCGGTGCTCAGGGGCCCCGGCCCAGGACACCCGGCCCTCCTCGGCGCCCAGCGCCCTCCAGCCCCGGAGGGGCCCGCGTGCACTGACCTCCGGCCGGGCCCCTCACCCACCTTGAGGACCTGCTGCTTGATGATGGAGGGCACCATCACGATCATGATAACGCCCAGCACGGCGCACAGCAGCCCGGCGAAGCCCAGCGCCGCGGCCACCCGGCGCGCTCTAGAGCGGCTGCCCATGTCTGCGCGCCCCGGCGCCCGCGCGGTGCTCGCGGAGCTCCGCGCCTGTGGAGGGACAGAGGCGGGGACGAAGGTGACTGAAGCAGCGACTCCGCGGACGCGGGCCGCAGCGGCACGGCGGGCCCCGGACCGCAGCACACGGAGGAGCGGCCCGGCAGGTGGCCAACGGTTTTATGTGCCATCGCCAGGGCGGACCGCCCCCGGGACGCCCTGGGCACCAGGATCTGGGCGGGCGCCAGCGGGCGGGGGGAGGGGCGGGGCCTAAGCTAGCAAGGGGCGTGGTCGGGGCGGGGCGCGGAGAGATGGTCCGATTGGGGCGGGGCCACGGCCGCCGGCCCCAAGCTCTAGCTTCCGTTTCCGCGGGAGGGAGGCGCGGAGATCTTGTGGGCTACGGGCAACGTTGCTCCTGGTCCCCCCTCCGCCTCGTAACTCTTCTCCCCTTCCTCACTCCCAGCTGCTCCCCGCTCACCCCTGTCCCTGATCCCGCCTCCCCATCTTCTCCCCCCTCCTCTTCTGTCTCCTCGTCCCCCCCCGCCTCTCCCTCCTCCCCCTGCCTCCCAGACCCTCCTCCTCCCCTCTTCTCCCCTCCTCCCCTCCCACTTCCTCTGTCCTGAGCGTCGTCGCTGTTCGTCTTTAGTACGAATTGCCCAACTCTGGCAGGGACTCCAGAGCGCCCGCCCCCAGCTCTGCGACCTCCTCTCCCCCCAGGGCGCCCCACACACCTTCCCGCGTGTGCGCACACACATGCTATTGCAGCCTCTCTCTCCGTGGAACAAGCCCAGCGGACTCCCGCCTCAGGACCTTGTACCCCTACGACTTGGAATTCTGTCCCCCCCAGATATCTGCCCGGCTCCTTCCTTCACGACTGCTCCGCCACCTTATCAGAAAGGCTCTTCCCTGCCACCCTGTGTGAAATAAAATAGCGGCCAGTTCTCCCCTCACCCCTCACCCTTATCACCGGGCCACCACCTGGCCTGTTCCATGTTCATATGTTCTTGCGTTCTGACCATCGCCAGGCGCTAGAATGCTCCAGGCAGAAGCTTCGTCTCTTGACAAAGCTTGAGCGCTGCCTGGCTGGGAACGCTTGCTCCCAAGGAACATTTTAGAATGAATCAGCGAGGAGCCTTCTAGGTGGGGTTCTTGTGCTAAGTGCCTGACCCACAGCGACTCCGTTCTACAGATAAGGAAATAGGCACAGAGGGTTAGGTCAACAAACCCAAGGCCCCGCTTTCTAACGAACAGGGAGACAGATTGGCAAGTGAACAAATGAACGATGGATTGCAGATAAGTGCTCCAAGAAAATGAAACCTGGGTGCGTGCTCCGCTGCAGTCCTCAAGCCCCACCCACCTGCTCCTAATGCCTGCAGCCCTCCACCCCACCTGGACCTCTGGATCCCTGATGTAGACCAGTCCCCTCAGTCTCTAGTGGGGGCCACGCAGGGATAGGAGGGCAGTGTACCCAGCCCCTGCGTAAGGCAGGCCAGTCCCTGAGGGCTCAGAATGAGGCCTTCTGAAACTCTTCTTCAACCCTGGAAGGAAGCAGCCTTCTCCCAGGCCCACCCTTAAGCAACACAGACTGGCCTGAGTCAGTATTTATCAGGCACCTGCTGTGACTAGCCAGAGAGCCTTGCCTAGCATTGTGTTCCCCTTGGGAGACCCGACATTGTCCAGGGTACCGGGAGCAGGGAGCCAACCCCCGACCTAGATCAAGATGGCTGGGGGAAAGGTGGCTAGATGAGGCGGCTGTGGTGTCAGATGGGGACAGGTTCCAAGAAGTCCATGCTGCAGGATTTCCTACCCTAGAGTCCTGGGGAAAGTGGCTTGGCCCGTTCTGTGCCTCAGTTTGTTCACCTGTCAAATGGGGATAATAAGAGCCTCTCTCCAAGGGCTATCGCAAGGATTAAATGAGTTGGGAAGATGTGACAGTGTGTAGAATAGTGCCCCAAGGTGAGAGCACCATGAAGATAGCTGTTCTTGTTGCTGCCCCGAGGTCCTAACTGACCTGGCTTCTGCTCACCTTTCTGCCCCCATGTCCCAACCTCTGCCCCTTGTTCTCTCTACCCCAGGCTTCTGGGCCTTCTTTCTGTTCCTTAAACAGCCCCAGCTTTTTCCAGCCTCAGGGTCTTTGCACTTGCTGTTCCCTCTGCCTAGAATACACTTCCCCACACCTGAGGCCTTCTCCTCCTGCAGGTCTCACTTTAAAGCCTGCTCCTTAGAGAGGCCTTCCCTGTGTAATCTGTCCAAAATGAAAGTCCCAACCCACCAGTCACTCCCTATCAAATCACCCCATTTTATCTAAAATTGTCTTATTTGTTTATCTGTTTACTTCTTTCTCTCCCCAGCTCCCAAGAGACAGAAGCTGGTCTGTTTTTGCGAATGGATGTAACCCCAGCACCTGGAACAATGCCTGGCACCTAGTACATACTCAATAAAGCCTTGAAATAATTAACCTTTAATTAATCAACCAACTCATTCATTAATTAATATAATTTCATTGAATTCCTTAAGGCCTTCAGCGGCCATCAGCTTTGGGGATTGTTTTATGTTTGCTGACTTTTGTAGTTCTTGGGAATTAACTAATTAACTAAAATCTGGGGTCTGTGCTCGCCCTGACGCCACCCCCTTCTTTGATACCCAGCTTCCCTCGGCAAGGACTGGCTCGCCTTGACCATCTCACCCAATCTAACTTTCAAGTCTTCAAGGTCCAAATGTACGTGATGCTTACCCAAGAGAGCCCCCAAGGCCACGGCAAGAGCGTTCTCATGTCACGCCACACTGTCACTTGACAAGAGAGAAAGCAGAGATGAAAGGATGTCTGAGACACATGACCAGCCGTGACCTCGCTGTGGGGAGTCACATCCACTGGGGGAGTAGGGGGCGGTGACCTAAGAAGCCAGAGAAAAGACTTCATCATGTTTCAGAGAGAGGCTTTGCCAGGATGAGGCAAGACAATGATGCAGAAGGAAACTTTGAAAGATTAATGATAGTAAAATATTATCAACGTGCATGTCAGAGAAATCCTGTAAACGCCAAGTCAGATGACGTTCCTCCTCAGCTCAAAACCCTCCCACGATCGAAAGACACTTAGTAGGAGTGTTGGCAAAGAGGTGGAGAAATTGGGACCCTCATACACTGCTGGTGGGATTGTAAAATGGCACGGCCACTGTGGAGAACAGTCTGGAAACAGCTCCTCGAAAGACTAAACACAGAGTTGCCATAAGTCCCCGCAGTTCCCCTCCCGGGTATACATGAGAGAAATGAAAACTGTGTCCGCACAAAAATGTGTACATGACAGCACTCTTCACGGTAGCCAAAAGGTGGAAGCAACCCAAATACCGCCCACTGACACATGGATAAATAAAACGTGGAATATCCCACAATGGAATATTATTTGATATTAAAAAATGAAGTACTGATCCATGCTGCAACACGGATGACTTTGAAGACATTACCCTAAGTGAAAGAGGCAGTTACAAAAGACCACATACAGGGCTTCCCTGGTGGCGCAGTAGTTGAGAGTCCGCCTGCCGATGCAGGGGACGTGGGTTCGTGCCCTGGTCCGGGAAGATCCCACATGCCACAGAGCGGCTGAGCCCGTGAGCCATGGCCGCTGAGCCTGAGCGTCCAGAGCCTGTGCTCCGCAACGGGAGAGGCCACAGCAGTGAGAGGCCCGCGTGCCGCCAAAAAAAAAAAAAGACCGCATACAGTATGATTCCATTTCCATGAAATGTCCAGAACAGGCAAATCCATAGAGACATAAAACAGGTTAGTGTTTGCCTAGGCTGGGGGGCAGAGAGAATCGGGAGTGACTGTTAAGGGTTCTTTTTGGGGTGACGGAAAGTTCTAAGATTGATTGTGGGGATGGTTGTACAGCTCTGTGAATAGACTAAAACCCATTGAATTGTACATTTTACACGAGTGGGTTGTGTGCTATATGAAGTATAGCATATTTCCTGTGGTTCCCACCTCACTCAGAGTAAAAGCCAAGTCCTCACCACAGCCCCCTCTGTGAGCTCTGTGGGTCACCCTCATCTCCCTGACCTCGCATCCCCCTCTCCCCCAGCCCACTCTGCTCCACCTCCTAGGTGTTCCTCAAACCTGGTGCCTTGCCCCTGCCTCAGGGCCTTTGCACTTACTGGTCCCTCTGCTGAACCACTCTTCTCCAAACCTCCACGTGGTCACCTTCCCTTCCTTCAAGTCCTTCTTTATATGTCATCTTCAGAGCAAAGACTTCCTTCCTATCAACCTTCTCAAATTACAACCACACCCACAATCCCCCCATCTCCCTGCCTTGTTTTATTTTTCTCTATTATGCTTACCACCATCCAACACTACATTATTCCTGTATTTGCTTGTTTTATTGGTTCTCTTCCTCCTCTGGAATGAAAAAGTCTCCACGAGGGCAGGAATCTGTCTATTTTGTTCATTGCTGTATCCCCAACTCCTAGAACAGTGCCTGGAACACGGTAGGTCCTTAATCAATAGTCATTGATAAACAACAGCTATAAGAGCCCAATGGTTAAGAACCTGCAGCCAGGTTACATAGCTGTGTGGCCTTGTGCAACTTGCTTAACCTCTCTGTGCCCTGGCTTCTTCCTTATCTATGCAGTAGAGATCATCTCAACAGCGCCCACCTCCTGGCGTAGTCATGGGATTAAATGAGCTAATCCTGGTCACACACTTATCGAGGTGCCATTCTTACATGGGATCATCACTGCCTGCAGGCTGCCACGCTTGGTCCGCCCCGCCTCAGCGCAGGGAGAATTATTATTACCGCCTGGGGCAATGCATGACAGGCATTGCATGGAAGCTGAATGGCTTGACTCAGAAGAGTCATAGCTGGTTAGTGGCAGGGCAGGGATGGAAGCAAGTCGCTTGGCTCCAGAGCCCAGACATGAATCATTACTCTCTTTGCTGAAGAAAAAGTGGAGAGAGGGGAAAGAGGAAGTAGTTGGGGAGAGTGAGAGAAAGCACAGGGAAAAAAGCAAAAGCCAGCGAGGAAGAGGAAGCAATCACGTTTGGCCACGTCTGCCACCTAGGTCGCCACCGGGTGAAGACAGACCCAGAGTTCACATTCGCTGCTCTTATTCATTCAGCCGATATCGACCTGCTATGCGCCAGGCACTCTGCTAGGTGCTGGGGACCCAGCAGTGAACATACAAAGCCTTGCTGACCTTCTATTCCAGCAGACAAGCAAGATCAATAAATGGTGAACATAATCATGGGTAAATTTTATAACATGCCAGGGCTGCGCTGCCCTATACGGTAGCCACTGACCACGCGCGGCGACAAGACGCTCGAAATGATGTTCAAGTGAGAGCTGCTGTGTCCTACACACGCCAGGTTTCAAGGACTTACTGTGAAATAAAGATCATAAAATATTTCAATATTTTGATGTTGATTACACGTTGAAATGACAACATTGGGGTATGTTGGGCTAATTAAAAATATACTACTGAGATTAATTTCTCCTGTTTCTTTTTACTTTTTAAAATGCAGCTACTGGAATTCCCTGGTGGTCCAGTGGTTAGGACTTTCACTACTGAGGGTGCGGGTTCGATCCCTGGTTGGGGAACTGAGATACCACAAGCCAAAAAAAAAAAAAATGCTGCCGCTAAAATTTTTTTTTAATTGCACATGTGGTTCCCATTGCATTTCTGTTGGACTGCACTGTGTTACAGGATGATACATGATTTAGCAGGAAAAATAAGAGAACAGGGTAAGTGCCCCCAGTGGGCAGGGTTGCAATTTAAATGGGGTGATTGGGGGAGGGCCTCTGTGAGAGGATGCCATTTGAGCAAAGACTTAAGGTAAGTGCAGGAACGAGCCAAGTAGATATCTGGGGAAGGTCTTTCCAGACCCAGGCAACAAGTCAGTGCAAAGGTCCTGAGGCAGGAGTGTGTCTGGATAGATGTTCTTTAAGATGCTATAATATCCCATTGATGCAAATGACTTCTTAGGAGCTGTTTTTCTTCAGTAGGTGAAAATGACTCCTGCAATTTTTTTTTTTACAATCCTTTTTTTTTGGCCATGCCAGGCGGCTTGCTTGCAGGATCCTAATTCCCCAACCAAGGATTGAACCCATGCCCCTTGCAGTGGAAGCACAGGGACTGGACTGCCAGGGAATTCCCAGAACACTTTTTTAGAATTTAGGAAAGAAGATTTTATTTGACACAGAAGGCTGCCGGAAGAGCAAACTGAAAAGACAAAGCAGGAGAGACACAGTTCTATTGAACAATTAAGTAACAGGAGGGCAAGTCATTAAATGAAGAACAAAACAGTTGAGCTTGATCAAAGAATGCTCTTTTTCTAATGTCCATACTTTCGGAATTCCCGCTCTCTCTTGTCCAGCGGACACAACTACCGTGTTTTGAGGCAGCAGGAGTTGCAGGGGAAGTGCTTAAACTCCCCCATGCAACGGCACATCTTCAGAAGTAGCAGACACCTGGTTAGCTCGACATTCTACGCAAAGATTCATAACGTGGTTCCTGCAGGTGGCACAGTTACCAACCACGCTATCCCAGGCTCAGAGGGCTACCACATTTCCCCCTTTTCATGTCAAAGCGCTTCTTGCCTGCACTGATGCTGGTGCCACCCCAGGTATCCACATCCATCACCGCCGCCATTTTGGAAACACACAGACCCTTGCGGCTGTGTGCATGTTAATGTTAGTGGAGGTCTCCAGAGTCTCACCACCACCACCACTTCCCCTAGGAGACTCAGCCAAGCCCCTACAAAACCCTGACTCCCTGCAGAATCATCTACCACCTTGGGAGTCTCCAGACGTCTTCCTTCACTAAAAGCTGTCAGTTGAACTTCACCTTTGCCCCCGCATCTCAGGACTTGAGACATGTATGTCTCTCTGGCAAGAGCTAAGTCTCCAACGCAAAACCACCTTCCATCTCAAAGGTGTAAGTGTGTGGGAGGGCTCAGCTGGCAACCAGGAGCTAACGACTCTGCTCTGTGTCTGCCGGATCACAAGAGAAAAGCCTCTGCCTGTTCCCACAGCCCAGACGGCTGGAGACGTGAGGATGGTTCCAGTCCCAGGACGCAGGAGGCTCCTCTGAGGTCGCCGGCCCCGCCGGACCTGCAGGGATGAGCATCCATCCATCCATGCATGTAGCAGATATCCACCCGGCTCCCACTCTGTACCAGGCCTACTGTGTGCTACGGGCAGGGGATAGAATAGTGAACAAGACAGACAGGTCCCCTCTGTCCTGGCCTCACGTTTTAGCAGGGGAGAGAGATTTTAAAACAAAACAAAACACACCTAAGCAAATAAATAAGGATTTTATATGATGATAAAGTGCCAATGAGAGAAACAGATGAGATAACACCACAGAGAAATGAGGGGGTGGAGGGGTGAGACCAGAAGGGTGAGACTGGGGAGGACATTTTGGCAAAATACCCAGTAAGTGCAAAGGCCCTGTGGCAAGGAGATGTCCCATCTGTTCAAGGAACAGATAAGCAGAGACGGTGCCATGAAGGGCAGGCCGCTCAGATAGCATGACCGCCCAGTTTATGTCTCTTGTCCCAATATGATTATTACTAGCACCCTCCCCCTTTTACTCTCAAAGTTTGTGCAATAAATTGTTAGGTTTTTCTTAGGCCATGGTAAAGAATTCCAATTTCAGCCGTGGAGATCTCATAGCAGAAGAGTAACCTAAATCAGAGTGATCTGACTTAGATTTTAAAATACCTTTCAGGGAATTCCCTGGCGGTCCAGTGGTTAGGACTCTGCACTTTCACTGCCGGGGCCCAGGTTCAATCTCTAGTCGGGGAAATAAGATCCCACAAGCTGCGCGGCACAGCCAAAACATAAAAAATTTAAAAAATATATGGGACTTCTCTGGCGGTCCAGTGGTTAAGACCTCACGCTTCCACTGCAGGGGGCGCGGGTTCGAGCCCTGGTCGGGGAACTAAGATCCCACGTGCTGCGCAGTGCGACCAAAAAAGCAAAGCTTTCAATGATTGCTAATTTTGAAGGGGTGATAACTGTTAAGTGAAGTATTTTCGAGGTGCATACTGCAGCATGTAGGGGAGAAAGGCCATTGTGACTGAGAGTAGCTTCAAAATAATTCACTAAAAGAGAAAGTGAAGAGGATGGATGAAGCAGCTGTAACAAAAAAACTTGATAGGTGTTGAATCTGAAATATGGGTCCATGGAGGTTCATGGTACGATTTTCTCTACTTTTGTGTCTGTTCCTACTATAGACTGAATGTTTGTGCCTCCCACACACACAACACACACACAAAAAAATCATATGTTAAATCTTAAGCCACAGCGTGATGGTATTTGGAGATGGGGGTGTCTCTGGGTGGTGATTAGGTCATGAGGTTGGAGCCATTTTGAATGAAATTCGTGCTCGTATAAAGGAAACCCCAGAGAGCTCCCTCACCACTTCAGCCACATGAGAACACAGGGAACCTATAACCATCTATGAACCAGGAAGTGGGCTGTCACCAGACACAGAATC